GCCTTGGTGTGTCCCAGGAGATTTTAATGTGGTGGGATCCCCGTCGGAGAGATCTACTGGGGGAGCATGGACCCCGGCTATGAGTCTTTTTTCGGAGTTCATTGATGGTCCTCAGCTTATTGATCTTCCATTAGAGGGTACTTCTTTTACTTGGTCCAACGGGAGGGAGACGCCTACCTTCTCCCGCCTGAATAGATTTTTACTCTCTGGAGAGTGGGAGAAGAAGTTTCCGGATGCTGTTCAGGCCACTCTAGCTAGGGTTACGTCGGATCACATTTCTTTGGTTTTGGACTATGGAGGGTTGAGTTCACGTCGTACCCCTTTCAGATTTGAGAATATGTGGCTTAGAGCGGTGGATTTTCAGGGGTTGGTACGGTCTTGGTGGGAGGAGGATTTGGTTGTGGGAACTTCGAGCTTCATTTTAGCAGGGAAGCTTCGCCTTTTAAAAGATAAACTCAAAACATGGAATAAGGAGGTCTTTGGTAATCTGGAATGGAGGAAGAATAGAGCCCTCGCTGAAATTGCAGAGTTAGCCAGATCAGAAGCAGTTAGTGGTCTTGTTGAGTCTCAACGTAACAGGAGAGCAGCTTGTCAGGCTGAATGTGGCGAATTTGCGATTATAGAGGAAATCTCGTGGCGACAAAAGTCTCGAGCCTTGTGGCTCAAAGAGGGTGACCGTAATACTAAGTTTTTCATCATACAGCTAATGCCCAATAGTACGGGCAATCATATTAGGCAGATGTGTGCAAATGGAACAATGTTGTGTTCTGAGAACGAATTACGTACGGGGATTGTTTCTTTCTATCAGAGGTTGTATACTGAGCCTCTTCGTTAGAGGCCACGCCTCGATGGTCTTCATTTTGACTCTATTTCAGTGGAGGATAAGGAAAGGCTTGAGAGACCCTTTACGGAGGAAGGGGTTCTTTTGGCGTTGAAGAGTTGCAATGGCGACAAAGCCTCAAGTCCGGATGGTTTCACTATAAGGTTCCTTCTGGAGAGTTGGGAGGTGGTTCGTCAGGAGGTTATGGGCACGTTCCATGAGTTCCACTCTAATGGGAGGATCGAAAAGTCGTTGAATTCTTCTTTTATTGCTCTTATCCCCAAGAAGGGAGGGGCAACTAACGTTAAGGACTTTAGACCCATTAGTCTGATTGGGTGTATTTGTCAGCTGATCGCTAAAGTCCTTGCGCTTCGCTTGAAGGGGGTTTTGGACAGTGTTATCTCTGACTCTCAGAATGCGTTTGTTGGGGGTAGACAGATCTTGGATTCAGCTTTTATTGCCAGTGAATGGATTTCAGGCTTAGTAGCGGGATTCCTGGTGTTTTGTGCAAGCTGGACATCGAAAAAGCCTATAATCATGTTTGCTGGAATTTTCTGTTCTATCTGTTAGAGAGGATGGGTTTCGGAGAGAAATGGAGGCGATGGATTGTTTCTTGCGTCTCATCTGTCAGATTTTCGGTGTTGGTTAATGGATCCCCATCCGGGTTTTTTGGCAGCTCCCGTGGTTTGAGGCAAGGAGACCCTCTCTGCTCTTTTCTATTCATTATTGTCATGGAGGCTCTTAGTAGATTGATGAGGAGGGTTGTGGATTTGGGGGTTCATACAGGGCTTCAAGATTGGTTCAGATGCAGCTTATCAGTTGGAAATCTCTCATTTGTTCTTCGCGGACGACACTCTGGTTTTCTGTGAGGCTGAGGTATCCAAGTTGAGATATTTGCGATGTGTCCTTACTTGCTTTCAGGCAGTCTCTGGGCTGAAAGTCAACGTGGGAAAGAGTGTTATTGTCCCTGTGGAGGATATTCAGGAGGTGGAGTCTCTCGCAGTTGTTTTAAGGTGTAGGACGAGTTCCTTCCCTATTTCTTATTTAGGCTTGCCTTTGGGTGTCTCGAAAAGAAGGGTGGGAAGCTGGGACCCGGTGATTGAGCGATTCGAAAGAAGGCTGGCAGGGTGGAAAAAGCAATACCTTTCGAATGGGAGAAAAGTTACTCTAGTGAAGAGCATTTTATCTACTCTCCCAACTTATTTCCTGTCCCTTTGGCTACCGTTGGAAGACTTGAGATGCTTCAACGAAATTTCTTGTGGGGCGGTAGAGCAAAGGAGTTCAAGTATCATTTTGTTCGATGGGAGCAAGTTTGTAGGCCCCTCAGGTTGGGAGGCCTAGGGTTTAGGAGATTGGCCCCTTTCAACAGGGCCCTCCTAGGTAAGTGGCTCTGGAGATTCGGCAGTGAACGCAATAGGTTATGGAGGAAGGTTGTTTCTTGTCGATTTGGAGAGGAGAGGGGGTGGGTGGTCAGCTAGACCGGTCAGGTTTGCTATAGGTGTGGGGGTTTTGAATCTATTGGGAGAGGTTGGGATGATTTCTCAAAGCACATTAGATTTAGAGTCCGAGAAGGAAGGGATACCCGGTTTTGGGAGGATGCTTGGTGCGAGGACCGTCCTTTGTCTCGTCTGTACCCGAGGTTGTTCAGGATTGTTGTTGATAGACATGCTATGGTTGTTGACTGCTATCGCCTTGATAGCGGTAAGTTGTCTTGGAATGTTTAGTTCCACCGATCCTTTTAGGATTGGAAGTTGGATGATGTCATTGGTTTGTTGGATCTTTTGTATAGACAGGAGGTGGACGGCATCGGGCTGGACTCTTTGACTTGGGTGCTTTCTCCTCAAGGGAAGTTTCAAGTCCGGTCCTATTTTCACCAGCTTTCAGATTTTCGTGGTCCTACCTTCCCTTGGAAAACGATTTGGCGCTCGATGGCTCCTCTTAGGGTGGCTTTTTTTGTGTGGACTGCTGCTTGGAGCAAGATTTTGACTCTGGACAATTTGAGGAAGAGACGACATGTTATCGTTAACCGGTGTTGTATGTGCATGAATGATAGAAAGTCTGTGGATCATCTTCTCTTGCACTGTCCTGTAGCTCACGATTGCTGGAGCCTTTTGTTGGGTCTCTTTGGTGTCTAATGGATTATGCCCTGGACCTCAAGGGATCTGATTGATGGGTGGAGGGGTCAAAGGGTGGGAACGCGCGCTCGTATTTTCTGGAGGGTGATTCCCCTTTATATTTGGTGGAGTCTTTGGAAATAACGCAATCGTAGATCTTTTGATGGGAAGGGGAGCTCCATTGGGGCTTTGAAGTTCACTATTCTTTGCTCCCTTTTTAGTTGGGGTATGGGGCGAGATTGTATTTCTTTGGATGAGATTGTAGACTTTTGGGGGTCGTTGGGTTCATAGATCTCATTTTTTCTCTTTTTTCGTCTTTCTACAGTTCTTAGGACACGTTCCCCTTTTGAACGCCTTCTACTACAATTTTACTTATCAAAAAAAAAATTATGCTTATTGTTATTTTAGTAATGTTCTAATTTTAAGGATATTTTAGTATTTTGTCATTTAGGGTTTTGTTTTAATTTTGCCAATATAAAGGCTCCTTTGTAATTAAACAATTCAGTTTTGGAGATTATTGATTATTGCTTTCTTTCGATCCTCTTTGTGTTCTTTTCCTTCTCTTATCTCTGTTTTACTTTTCTCACCCATTCAGTCCATCATGCCTACTTTCTTTCTTTCTTTCTGGTTACTTGTCCGTCACTTCGATTGATCAAACTCCTTGTACTAGTATACTAATGATATTTGTTTGAAGAATACTTTAATGCATTCTAAACCACACTTTAAAGATAAAATCATGCAACTTGTAAACCATTACATGTTTGACCATGTGAATGCATGCACACAAACCTTAATTTGGTGAGTGCACAAAATTGACAGTTGAACTTACCTTTATGACCTTGTTCAAGCTTTGAATTCTTAACTCAACTATCTAATTTCACCAACTTTTGAAAGCATAAACAAAGGCTAAAATTCAATATTACAGACTTTCTTTGTGTGAAATTTGCAAATCCAATCCTATTGACCTAACAATCTCATCTTGAGGTCTTAACACACATGACCTGACTTAGTGGGTGAGAGAGAGAGAGACACCATAAATTCTTTATGACATATGCCCCATAGGACGTGAGGCACCTTATTAGGGAAGCGGGAAGCCTAGTCACTTTTATGACGATCTAGCTTTGTCATTGAACTTCAATCTAATTAAAACCCTTGCTGAGACATTGCACTGGACCACCACATATACGCAAGATACAATTTGTTTGGACCCCGTGTCGGCACGAGCACCGCCTTACCCTCATCTCTAGACTATAAATAGGTCTCTCATGCACTTTGAAGGGTTGGGGAGGAAGGTTTAGACTTGAACCAAAGAGACCGTGCAAGACTCCATCCATGCCTAGACCTCTAAACCGCTAAACTGTGAGAGTCCGTGCCTGGACCTTAAAATCCAAAAATCCATTTCTTAACCTTTGATCCCATCAATTCACACCTTGACCTGTGAACCCCCACTAAACAATTAATTTTCTTTTTACTTCGAGATTCAATCACACCCCACCTAGGCCTTGAGGTCCCTTAGCTCCCCACCTTAACCTGAAAATCCCTTTGCCTCTCCTCGACTTAACCTCTGAGATCCTTTACAATACCTCTAGACTTTTATATAATAGATAGTTATGCCTAGTTTGGCCACGGGTATGGCCTTCACCTCAGCAAGTCTATTCTCTCTCTCTCTCTCGCTTACACATGTTATGTCAGGTCTGCACAATTCAGTAACGGAACCAGATTTTCAAATTGACCCATAACAATATGGACTACTAATTCAAGCGATAAACAATATCTAATAACAATTCAGCTGAATAATCCAAATAATAACCAAAAGAGGAAAACAATGAAAAATATAATAATAACAATACAAATCATCGTCATCCTTGCTCCCATTCGAATGGAGTTGGTCACATGACTTTTGTTTTTCAATTATACAATAACAATACAATGATATACATACAATAAAAAGTCAGAGATTAACAATTAAATCAACACACATGAAAAAAGTGCACCTGAAAAAGTAATTTTGACTATTCAAGCAATACTCAGAAAAAAATTTCCCATACGAACACACAAAAAATTACCTTTACACTGAAATCATATATAGTCTTCTCTGTGGCAGCTCTCGCGTAAACGACACCCGAAGATCCATATTTTAAGAGAAACCCAGAAATATTTGATGCCTGAAATGAGAACCCAGGTTGAAAAAATGATGATTTAGATGACCCATAAGAGGTTTTGTTGGATAATGTGAGGAGAGCCATGGACGGAGAAGGAAACCATGATTGATATGTGCTTGGGTTTGGTTTGGTTCTGCCAATACCACTCAAAGGTGCAGAGGAAATCGAAGAGAAAACCACGGAAGCCATCTGGGTTTGGATTAACAGTTGCAGTGTGAATTTCTATCCACTTTAAGCTGTACTAAGAAGTTCTCTCTATACATGAATGACCCACGTGGTCTCTTAATTTTATATTGGGGTCTTTGGAGTGAAAACTATGGGATCCACGTTTCATTTTCTTTCTTCTTCTTCCTTTTAATTATTATTGTTATTTTTTTTTTATAACAGGAGTAATAATAAGTTTATTATTGTAATTATTATTATTACTGGAATAAAATAGTTGGAATGATAATCTTAAGATAAAATAGTAGATGTGACTAGAACAAATAGATTAGTAATCATTATGAAATAGTAGAAATTAGGAGTGGTGCACCGCTGAAAGAAAAAAATAAATCTATTAATTCGCGTATGATGAAAAAATAAAAGGACAAAAAAATATAAATAAAGATATCCGTTTTGATAAGTATGCTGCGAAAAATAATAAATGTTATCAAGAAATACAAGGTCATTACTCATTAGCTATTGGCATTTAAATATTGAATTGAGATTTTTTTTTTTTTTTAAATCTTTAAAAAGTCCAACGAATTATTTAATACTCCTACAATAAAATATTAAATGTGGAGGACTTCATCACAAAAGATAATTTTGCCCTTTCTCATTAAATTATCTTTATTATTTTTATTTTATCTAAATATTAACTATATCATTTACCTTAATTTTATTATTAGTATCAATTTATCATACAAATGAAAAAGTAAATAAATAGAGTTGTAACTTTAATTTTCTAAGATAATTAACTTATTAATTAAAACTTTATTATTTGTAATAAATCTTATTATACTCGGTTTAAACTTTTTTATCGTAAAAAAAACCCTTTTCATAAAATATATTCATGAATATTTAATAAATTACTTAAATAAAAATTATTGTCTTTTTCATGCAATATATTCTTGAAAATTTAAGAAATTAATTATAATTTTTAAAAACATTTCTACTTAATATTTTTATTTAAACAATTAATTGTAAAAATTAAAGGTAAATTTAAGCAAATTTAAAAGAGAATATGTCATCAAATTAGTATAGATTTTTTTCATAATTTATTTTAATAAGAAAAATAGATTATGTGTGATTCAATAAGAAATGGCAGTATGATTATTTAATGAAAAATAGCCTAGGCATGGGAGCATTTTTCAATAAAATGTGATAATTTAGGAGGTATTGTACAAAAAAAATACTTCAAAAGGTTATTTGCAAATTTAAACATAGTTTGGAGGATTTTTTCACTTTACCTGAATAATTTTGTGCATGCTTAATATAAAACGGTTTTAGCAAACACTCCTAAAATCAATTTGTTGTGCTTTTACATTGATCAATTTTACTAAATTGACTCAAGTAGATGTCCATATTGAGTTTTTGCTTCTCACATATCCAACACTAGTCATAAGAAATACTTGGCACGAGATTTATAGTAATTGAATTTCAAGTAGAATTTCACTTATTTGGGAATGATGGGATTTTGAAAGGGAATGTACTTAAAAGGGATTTTAAGGAAATATTGTAAGTTTGTCCACAAATTCTAGAAAATTTGAAAGAATTTGAAAAATAACTACTTATTTCTCAAATTTTTCTTCTAACTTATCAAAATTATCCCTTTACAAACTACTTTCACGTCTCTCATTCTACGTGTGTAACGTACCTCTTTCATAATCTAAGTGTATTTTATTCTAAAATGGTACAAAATTTATTTTCTTTTAAATTATTTCTCAAACATGCAAATAGAATATCACTTTAATTACAATTTAGTTCCCTTTTATTTTCATATCCGAAGAAAAAATTTAGTTCCAAATAAAGCAAAGTCCACTAAACCCTTCACATTTAGGAGACTGTATTCACACTCCACTTTTTTTTAAATCTCCACTCTTATTTTTTTATTTTTATTTTTTAAAGATATTGATAACCTTAACTTCACAAATTAATGATTTTTTTCTTTTGAATTACACAAATACCCTTACACATATGGTTGATCTCCCTCACTTTCTCTCTAATGTTTAATGTTTATTTTTTGTTTCTTTCGGCCGGCCAACAAAAAAAATATAAATAAATTATGTGCTATGGCAGGACCTAAAAAATAAAAAAATTACAGCTGTTGAATGAATTATCTCTTTTGACAACATTACAAAAAAAAAAAAAAAAAAACAAAAAAAAAAGGGAACCAAACAATAAAATAAAATAAAACCCCCAAAAGAAGAGTTATCTATGGTGAATAAACTATATGTTTTGACACGAACCAAAAAACAGAATATAATAAATTGTACCCTTGTTATCTAAGAAAAAACAAAAAAGGATAAAAAAAATAAGTTATATCTGTTAGATAAATTACCTATCTTGAGAGGACAAAAATAAAATAAAATTAAAAAACAAAAAAAGTAAAAAAAAAGAGAGTTAAATTTATAGGATAAAGGGTAGTTATGGTATTTTAAAATAAAAAGGATGCATTAACGAGTTTATGTATCTTCTTTTTATTTTCTTTGAGAGAAAAAAGGCAAAAGTAGAGTGCGGATATGCTTCCATATAATAATATATTATAAAAGTAACACACTACAAATTAAACATGAATATATATTATAAAAGTAATGCATTATAAATTACACATGGATGTTACCCAGTGACTTAGTTAATAGAGCGTCTAATTTTTAGAATAAGTGTGACTGTGTCTAAATCCCCCTAATTTGCTGGGATAAAAATTTTAAAAAATATTAAACCTCTTCATATAATCAACACGCGATGGAACTTGAGGACACGTGTACATATAAATGTCCAACATACATATTACTGTTTCAACCAACAATTTAAATTCCTCAAATATTTATATTCTTATTTTGATTTTTGGGACATCTATTAAATAGTTGTTGTACATTTAGTGTTTTAATTTAGTCATAAATATTTTTCCATAAGAACAAAATAATTACCACAGTATTCTTAAAAATATTTAAAGTCCAATATTTCTGAATGAAAAGAATGACAATCATATACCACCATGTCACATGCCTGGTTGTTTGATCCTAGGTAACTTAAGCAACTAATATACTAATCAATATGGTTATCTTAGAAAACGATTGGTACCTACGCTTAGTTTTTTTTTTTTTTTAGCGCGTTCAAAAATAAAATTTTGAGAAAAAGTGATTTTTTTATTTTTTATTTCAAAATATTTGGAGCATGTTAAAAATTTCTTTGGTGATGCAAGTATGTAAATTTAAAAACTTATCAGGTAAAAGAGTAAATAGGTACAAGATACATTATACGTATACGCACACACTTATGTATAATTGTATACGCACACACGTATGTATAATTGCACACGCACACGCACACGCACACGCACACGCACATATACATAGCATACGAGTGCTGGATGAATGTTAATATAAAAGGGTTTCTCCCTTTGTTGTGCACCTCTCTCTTCTCTTTGCAGCCTGCGAAGAGAGATAGAGAGAAACAAAAGGCTCTCTCTCCTCTCCTCTCCTCTCCGTAAACGCAAAAAAGGATCCAAATCTTCGATCCCCTTTTTCTCTTCATAATTCCCGAATCCTCCATCTTATATATATATATATATATATATTATCTTCCTGTTTTTTCTGCCGATCCGACGGCCGCCGATTATCTCTCTCCGTGAAATATTGCGTTATGCCGGAAGATCATACGGTGATAAGCTTGAGACCAGGTGGCGTTGCTGGTACCCGAGGCAGCAGATTCGCTTTCGGTCTTGGTTTCACTCCTTCGTCTGATTCATTGCCTCTGCGCTCCCATGGGGGTTTCAAGGTCCGTGCAAAACAAAAACCTAAGCTATTTTCTTTCCATACCTTATTATTTTCGAAGATTCAAACTTTCTATTTTTTGGGTCCTTTGCCGTTTATTTTTCAATCTTGTTTGAATTAAATTGTACGGAGTAACTGATATGGATTATATATATTTTTAAACAATCTTACTTGCTAATATATATATATATTTTATTTATTTCGTGTTTGGATTGAATTGTACTTTGTGATTTTGAATTGCATATTGCAACCGCAGATGATTATTTTTAACTATATTAGATTAAATTAGATTTTGTCCTGTTGTGACACCTTATGTCAAATTGTTAATAGTATTGTATGCTTGGGATTTAATTTCTTAAGCTTTCTGTTGATTATTTATTTTTAATCATGTAAATTGTGGATGTTTCAATGCTGACATGATTTTCTTATACATTATGGATTGCATTTTTAAACCATGATTCTTTCTGTAATGGTAAAAAAAGAATCGAGACAATTTTTGGAGAGATTAGGTTTGGTGTTTTTAAAAAAAAAAAATTATAAATAAGATAAAAATCAACCTAAAATTAGAGACCATGTATCAAATAGAAAAGAAGATTAAGAAAATGAATCTTTTATTATGTTTTGCTCTGTTTTAAGGGTAGAGAAGTTCTGTACGCTTTATGCCACACTCATAACTCCACAAAATATAGCATTTTTAAATAATGCGAATTAAATTAGTTCGATCGTGCATGTGTGTATATGAAAATTGCACATATATTGTATCTTTTTTTTCTCTCCTGAATGTACAGTTATTGTAAAGGCTTATTTCAATGTTTATCATAATTCTACCAAGTTCAATCTTTTAGACAACTGATATAAAATTAATTGGATGGTAGTGCACACACAGATGTATGTATATATATATTTGTAAAATTGTAGATTGCATATGATTGTCCTAATTCTTGGTGGGGCACTTAAATACGTGTACTTGCTGTAAATATGGACAAAAAGCAATATGTGGGCTTTAGGTGGGCATCTAGTGAGTATGGGTTGCCCATAAAGGACCTACATATATTTAGATCCTATATAATTGATGATTCAATTGTGAAGAAATACAGAAGGAGACGACATATTATGTCTGTATTTTTTAATGTTGACTCGGTTTGTCATTCATTCTTAAGTATGATTTGAAGCATGTTTGCTAGTTACAAGGTTTCAGTCGGTTCAAGCAAAAAATAGACGTCTATTCTTGGTGAGAGTTTCGAGAACATTTTCAAGTATGTATCTCTCAATTTTAGTCGGATGGAGAGATGTTCTAATTGAACATCATAATGTCGAGGACTATCGCATTCCTGGATGTGATGCTGATGAAATTATAAATACCTTAAGCGTGTTTTCTTACGTTAATGTTATCCACAATAAAAACTTTCTTTTAGGTTTGAAAATCTGTTTTTTTCCCCTCCCAAAGACGGCTGTTTTTTTCATTAAAAACCACTTAAAAAAATGTAGAAGTTGTGTAACATTATTTTTTTTTGATAAGTAATATTTCATTGAAGAACACTCAAAGCCAAGGGGAGTGCATCCCAAATACTAAAGAAAAACCAAAAGCTACACCCACAAGCTATCCACAAAAACATTAGAAGCTCCAAGGATATATAATTTCTCCCACGAACCCACAAAAAATCAAGAACTAACAGTTCATAACAGCCTGGATTATATAAGAAAAGAGGGCCAATATCCGTGGATATTGGTGATGTAAATGCATCCAGGCTACAGCACATGAGGCATGAATAGCAAGTAAACACATGTCTCCTATTACATGGGTTAAAAGTCCAATACCTTGAAAAAAAAAAACTCCAATACCATCAAAATTATTCTGCCTTGTACCTTTCTGGTGCAGAAAAGGACTTCCTCAAAAAATTCAATGAGTAGTTACAAAGGTTAAATAAGAACAAGGCAAGTCCTGCGTATATAGCACTTTTCCATTTCAAACATGCATTTACTATTATATATAATTTAGATGTCAGGCAAATAGTGAAACTAGATGAACATGGATTGAACAAAATAGCTTGAGTTAGTAAAGAAAGATTTGATAGCATGTGGATTGATTAGGTTATGGACTTAAAAAGAGCGGAATGGAAACATGGGATTCATGTAGTCGACCCCAAATAATTGGGAAAAGGCCTGGTGGTGGTGGTTGTTCTAACCCTACCTTCTGTGTTGCGAGTGAACAAGCAGTAGGAATCAAACAACTTCTGACTTTGTATTTATTTTTTCTAAGTTCCAGGATGATTTGGTAGGATATAAATTATAAGTGATGTCTTATTTTTTTCTTAGTATCTTGCAATATATTAATATATAATTAAACCACTGAGGGTATGCATTTTATGTTTTGACGCTTTACACTGCCATGCTGCAATAGGTGGGGGACTTGCGGTTTGAAGGTCGTGAGTGCATTCAGTATACACGAGACCAGCTGTTGCAACTTAGGGAGGTACTTCTTATAATTGATGCTCCTATTATTCAGTTTCATTCTTAAAATTGGTTACACTGATGAATTAACAGTGAAAATGGCAGTTTTTTTGCTGGGTGATACTATTTCTGTTGTTCAGAAAGCAGGATGGAGACCAATTGTCAATATTTTTTTCTTGTCTTTCTTAATAATCCTTCATTGCATATGATTATTATTTGTAATCATTTGTATCTTATATAGTTATACATGCTTTTCCCATGTCTGCATCTTCTATTATAGGTTGCTGATGTATCCGAGGATATTTTAAAGATCAGACAAGTTATTGAGGCCGAGTTCGGTGAAGATAAAAGCTGGGTTCATGGAGATGGCAATGTAAGCTGATAATCTGCTGTTCTTATTTCATCTGCTATTATGGTTTTTATTTGACTAGAAAATTTTTTGTATTGGTTGTTTTGTACTCAATTATGATTGCTATTGTGAAACATGTCCTGTGGTGAGTTTCAGTAATTTTTGCCTATATTATCCCTATCTTATCTTTTAAATTCTTTTGAAGTGGTATATTTACTTCCTAACTTATTTTTAGCTGCAGTCTCAATCCCAAAGTCGTCATTTTGAGCCAGACAATCGTGATTGGCGTGGTCGGTCTGCACATTTGCCTGCATCTGGAGAGGAGAGATCATGGGAAGCTCTTCGAGAAAATCAGGAATTCTCTGGTAGATTCGAATCCAGACCTCATGAAGCAAACCTCCGTCTGGACCATCTGAACTCTCAGTTTGCAGGGGCTCAAATCTCTTCAAATACAGGGGTAATATCATCTTATTGAATCATTCAGAAGTTTCTGTTTGAAGTTTGCTTTATATTCACCTGTTGGTGTATTTATCCATTTACTTTAGCGAATCTCTCCCCTCTTAAAAACCACACATACACTTAAAAAAGATAATAATAATAATGGAGGAATGAAAAAGCCACATGTGTGCAATAATTAAGTGGTTGATTTTTATTTTATTAGGGTTACGTCTTAAGGCATAGCCATTTCCTCTTTTTTCTTTTATGTCTTTTGTTTTTATTTTTTAAATTATAATTTGGTACTTCTACGTATGCTAGATTCCAAAAAGCAGTGAAAAGATTCTATTGGTTTGAATGTTTTGATTATGATTGCAAATGAACTGTTCAAGCTCGTCGCTGTTAGTTTCAACTTTCAAATATGTTCCGTGCCATCTTCAGTTTAAGATGAGGTTGATTAACCTTTGTAGATTGGCTCTGAACAGTTTGACCAAGCTCAGTCTAGGCTTGGGTAAAAAAATTACTTTCGGACAAAAAGAAACAGGAGGCAAAAGTTCATTTAGATCTTGGTTTAAACTCTCCACACACCAGCCCCACCCCCCCACCCAAAACCCACCCACCCACGCGCACGTAAAAAGAAGACTTGGTTGACAGCAATCCTTCACTTAGATGCAATTGCTCAATATGGAAAGTGAACTAAAAAAAAAAAAAAAGATAAAAAAGAAATAAATCCTGATACATGATAGAGCGGAAGAAGAAATGTACCATATTCAAACCCTTGACACCCATGGCTATGATGATTTAGGGTTTAACTCCTCAAGATTTAATTAGAGAGATAATGGAAGAATAAAAAAAGAGCAAGAGAACAGGTGAGTTGGAGGATGAAATGCTACCGAAGTATTGTGGTAAGACCCAATGGTGATCCCGTGGAGGAAGAAATTGAAGTTCTACATACCAAATGCTATCCTTGTTTCCGTGCTTAATAAAATAAGAGAAAAAATACTTATCAAAAAAATAAAATAAGAGAAAAAATAATATGTAAAAAGTAATTTATTGCATATGTAGACAAAACCATATTCTTTTTCAAATTTATTTATTTTATGTTTTTTAAATTCTCACATGCTATATATGGCATGAATTTTATTTATTTCATAATTGAGTTTATTTTATTCATTAATATTGTAAAAAGTATATTTATTATTGAAAAGTTGCATAATAGGCAAGATTGGCAATCACAGATGTGGTGTAACAGAATTGAACCAGTATCGGCATTTTAACGGGATTGGTTATCGCAGCAGTGAAATTTTTTTTCTACCTTGCACGTAAGGCTCAATATGCATCAATATACAACTTTATATGAAATAGCTTAATTAAAAAAGAAAAGAAAAGAGTTTTAGTGATTTTTTAAAGTCCATTTAACACAAGAAACAACATTCAGTAATTGTAAGTCGTCGTCGTTATTAAATAGAACTGTTGTCAATATCTAGAATATTTTTAACAACAGTCAATTTAGCGATAATTGTTTGCACTTCAGTTGTAGTCAATTATATTCATACAAGATTTTTCAACCACACATCAGTTAAATATTAGATCAGTTATTGCCTATGAATCACGTAAATAGACACGGTACAAACACAGCAATAAGTCAAATTTCAAAAGAATAGGACATGTACATGACATTGATTTGATAATAAAATAATATAGTATTATATATAATAACTTATCAATTATTTATTTATTTATTATTATTATTTTTATATAGATACTAAAAAAATATTTCTGTTCTTTTCTCTACATTAACATGAACTTAATAATTCGTTTCAACTTTCAAGTTTACATTTGGATTGGTCTTGATTCTAAAACATTATATATATTTTTCTATTAACTCATAATATATGTTTTAAAATTACATTGGAACTCTTTTCTTAAAAAAAAAAAATTGCAAAATTACTCTTGCCGTATCCTGAAAGTGTTCCGAACAAGTCCTTGCCATGTCCCATGTGTGTATGTGTTAGACACGTGTTTGATACCCGAGTGCATTCTAGAGGAGTGTCGATGCATTCTAGAGGAGTGTCGATGCTTCCTAGGTCCTGTCTTAGTCTATTTCAGTACGAACTTTATGAAGACTATTATATATGTTTATCTTCCCATTTTAGCTTTTAGAACTTGCTTGCTATATTGTTTGCGACATTGGCATTAGTTTATTTTAAACGGGTAATTGAATCTTAGATAATACTTAAATTTTATTTTCTGTCAAAGGATCGAGGATGATTGCTTCTATTTTAGGATTTTCTCAATTTTATCTCATAAATCCCATCTGTGAGTTATGTGTGGTGGCTTGTTCTTACTAGTGGCTTTAAATGGGTTCTATATTTTAGTTCTGAGTTCAATTTTCTTTGTTTAATGTAAACGATGTGTACAGAGTGGATTCTGAGGTTTATGGTGTGACTGCAGTTATAAAGCTATTGAAGAAAAATTTTTTTTTTCTTGGTTTGATTTTTTCTTTCTTTTGTTATTATTATTATTTTTGTCCTCTTTTAGTGGTTGAAGCCCCTTTTTCTATATGTTTGGTTTCTTCTTGTCATCAGTTTAACTTTGTGTGAAAACCAGGTGGGACCTGCCCGTGTTCTTATCAAGGCTGAAGTGCCATGGTCAGTACGGAGAGGGAATTTATCTGAGAATGAACGTGTCTTGAAGACTGTGAAAGGGTAATTAGTTGATCCTGAATTCCTTTAATGGTGGTGTGTTTTTCCTTTTCAATTAGAAAATCTACCTCATTTTCTTGCATTACCGTTGATTCATTATCGTTGATTCGTCATCTTGAAAATGTGACAAAGCCAACAGAATTCCAATAAAAATTTAACTTTCAATCAACTAAGGATTTTCTTTTTTGTGTGTTTTTCTGGTGGTGTTTGCTGGGAAGAGCACTTCTGTATTGAATCTCTACTTGTGGTAACCATTCTAGTCTCTGTGCAGTATACTGAACAAATTGACCCCAGAGAAGTTTGATGTTCTCAAGGGCCAACTGATCGATTCTGGAATCACAACACCTGATATTTTGAAGGTTCATATCTTAAAGATCTGTATAAACTGAAATTTGAATTTTTAGTGATTTTTGTACAAATAAAATGGGAGTCCCTTTTTGTAACTGCAGGGTGTGATCTCACTGATTTTTGAGAAAGCTGTGCTGGAGCCAACATTTTGTCCCATGTATGCTCTTCTTTGCTCTGACCTGAACGAGAAGCTTCCTCCTTTTCCATCTGATGAACCTGGTGGGAAAGAAATTACGTTTAAGCGAATTCTCCTGAATAATTGCCAGGAGGCATTTGAAGGTGCTGACAATCTGAGGGCAGAAATTAGGCAGATGATTGCCCCTGGTCAAGAATTGGAACGCAGGGATAAAGAAAGAATGGTCAAACTGAGAACGCTTGGAAACATCCGTCTTATTGGAGAACTTCTTAAGCAAAAGATGGTACCTGAAAAGATTGTCCACCACATTGTTCAGGTAAGATTTGAGTTCAGTGACTTGGCCCATTAGCTTTTCTATCGTGCTGTTAGATTGATTCTTTGAAGTGGCCTAAATCCACTGATTTTGTCATATAGGAGCTTCTGGGACCTGATCCTAAATCTTGCCCAGATGAGGAAAATGTGGAGGCAATATGTCAATTCTTTAATACTATTGGTAAGCAGCTAGATGAGAGCCCAAAATCTCGGCGAGTCAATGATGTTTATTTCAGCAGGCTAAAGGAATTGACAGCAAACACCCAACTCGCACCACGGTTAAGGTTTATGGTCCGTGATGTTCTTGAGCTGCGGGCCAACAACTGGGTCCCTAGACGCGAAGAGGTTTACTTTCCATGTCTCATCTATTACTACTACTGTTATTTCCTCCTCATCTCTTCCAGCTACTTCTATATACATTGTGATTGGGGTTTTCTTTGTCCTGTTGTCTGGTGGTTTTATGTTTCATGTATTTGAAGAACTGAAAATGATTGCATAAGCTTTATTTTGACCTTTGTTTTGGCAGGTGAAAGCGAAGACCATCACCGAAATCCATTCAGAAGCAGAGAAAAATCTGGGTTTACGTCCGGGTGCAACTGCAAACATGAGAAATGGTCGTAACATGGGGGCACTTGGGGGTACTGTGCCTGCTGGTGGCTTTCCTGGCTCTGGGGGAATGATGCCTGGTATGCCTGGTATGAGGAAGATGCCTGGGATGCCAGGACTTGATACTGACAATTGGGAGGTTCCTAGACCTCGATCAGTGGCGAGGGCTGATGGTTCAGGTCGTAGTCAATCTGCTAGACATCTCCAGTCACCTTTGATTGGCAAATCTACACCCCTCAATTCAAAATTGTTACCCCAAGGCAGTGGTGGTTTCATAACTGGAAAGACCAGTGCTTTGTTGCAGGGAAGTGGTGGACCTCTTAAAAAACCTTCTGGCTTTGTTTCAGGAGTTGAACCCATAAATGAAAACCCCAAGTCTGTTGCTCCTGCACCGTCTGTTGCTCCTGCACCACTTGCAAGTCCTCCTGATAAGCCGCAGGCTGCTGCGACAAAATTGAACCCTGCAGATCTTCGAAGAAAAACTATTTCCCTTCTGGAGGAGTATTTTGGCGTTCGGATTCTCGATGAAGCATTGCAATGTGTAGAGGAGCTGAATTCTCCGTCTTATCACCCTGAGGTCGCCAAGGAAGCCATTGCCCTAGCACTGGAAAAGATCCCACCTAATGTAGAACCGGTTACAAAACTTCTGGAGTTCCTGTTGAATAAAAAAGTTTTGACAGCCAGAGATATAGGTACTGGATGTCTTCTCTATGGGTCGATGTTAGATGATATTGGGATTGATTTGCCAAAAGCACCGAATAACTTTGGTGAGGTAATTGGAAAATTGATCTTGGTTGGGGGTGTGGACTTTAAGGTGGTGACAGAAGTTTTGAAGAAAGTGGAAGATGATAGGTTCCGAACAGCTATTTTTGATGCTGCTATGACGAGCATCAATTCTAGCCCCTCCGCACAAGGGGTTTTGGCAGCACATGGAGCTGATATCCAGACTTGTAAAACTTTGCTCTCTTGATTCAAGGGGAATGTTGCCCCAGTCTATCATTGAAACTGGTCTTCATGTTCTGCAACTGGGAGAGCTCAAACAATGGTGGTTATCTTTTCCTTTCATACTTCCCATCCAATTTTTCTTCCGTTACAATTTGTGATCAGAGAACCTGATAGCGGTCTATAATTTTATTGAGTTGTATATTTTTCGAGATCTTTTATGGATTTGTTTATGAGGATTTAACAAAATGCCATCGGTATCTCGTCTCGTGTTCAGGCTAATATTTTCCCGGGAATTTTAAGGTGAAAAGGCTCCTTTACATAATCCAGTTGTTACATTAAATTTTGAATTCACGTGTATTGTTTAATTTTTATGCTATCCTATTGGTACACCATCATTCTATTTTCACTTCTTGGTGGTGTTTCCATTTTGTGTTTGTTTGCTTAAATATAATGTAATGTTACACCATTATATTAGAAATCTTCTTCTATAGCTTTTAATCCACACACTATCGTCTGTTTGGAGTCCAGCCCGAGTGGCTTTTGCAGCTTTAATTAACTGGCACTCAAAGTAGGACTAAGATTGTGAAGAGCCACGTCCTTGAGGGGAATCAAGGACAAGGTATTCTGATCTATAGATACCTCATAGGAGTTATTAGTCTTACTCTGTCATGTTGGGTACTCTCTGCATGTCAATATGGTTAAAACTGGTTTCTCCGTTGAACAAGATGATTTTGGTATATAGAAGAAAACTACTCCGTATGTGACAATTGTGTGTTTGGTGGTATATATTCTGCACTTCGGTATTGAAAACGGAGCGGAACGAGTTTCAAATTGGAACAGATATGATCTTGAATGTTACCTTGCTACCAAAAGTAGCATCGCTGTGGAAACATTGAATACTCTCCTAAGAAGGGTCTTCTGTAGGTCAACTGTGAAGGACATCCATGTTGCAGTTCCTTGATCTGCACGGCAATGGCCATGGCCGGCTTTGCTACCTCAAAACTCTTTGATGACATTTTGTGGCTTGCTTGGTTCATGCGCCTCCAAATTTGGAGCTCTAGTATGTACATGTAACATGATTGATCTTGTGCGAAGAGCTGTTAATTATAATCCTATTTAAGCTTGTTTACCTTCCTCATTTTTGTTGTTTTAAGTTGTCTTTGATCCCTTCCGAGTCGATGCTAAAACGTGTTTACAGACCAGGGGACTCGGAGAGAAAGGAGAGGAGAGGAAAGGAGAAGAATGAGTAGTTTTATATGATTTTATGTTTGATTCAAAAAGGGAGAGGAATGGGAGGTAGTAGAAGAGTGCTTAATCTTTTAATTTTACACACTGTTTCTGGGGACGGGTATGGGATCCGTAGTTGGGGATAATATATATATATAAGATTTGATTTGGTTTGAAAAACATAAGATCTGAGGTATCTAAATCATGAGTTATGATGACCATAACAGCTCATTTGCATGTGTAGTTTATTGGGAAACTTGTTTAGGCCGAATGGAATGGGGGATTTGTATGAGATTTTGCCAGACTAGCTAGGGCTACCTATATAATCAAACCTTCCTTGATACCTCTGAAAGGTAGAGCAAAATGGATTAATTGAGTACATTACAACCTACGCATGGTATATATGTACGTATGTTACACTAATAATTAATTAGGTAATCCATATCATATCATATCATATGGTAGATGGCTATCATTTGTTGGTGGGATCTAGATGGATCAATTTGCTTCCACAATCAGCACATATATAGATTCATATTACGCACACACACAAACACATGTATTATTAGTTTTATATATATAGTGGACAACTCAAAGATTTCTTACAAGATCTCCCCACCCTTACTTATTTATTTATTATATATTATACTGTTTTTTTTTTTGGTACTCCTATTTGGGTTCAATGAATTAGGATTCAAATTTCTTTCACCAGAGAGAGAGAACATCTCCCATCTTAAAATAACCATATCTAGGTGATGGCTTTCAAGGGAATGAGGTAGTCTATCATTATATTTTGACTAGCTCGCTCTTATCCTATAATGTGTGTGCGCACACACACACACACATATATATATATATATTGTGTATAGAAGTTCATTGTTTCTATATAAGGCCGTTGAACCCTACCTGGGCCAGTCATAATGCCACCTTAAATGTCATATATATATATATATATATATATATATATATTTGCGAGTTATCATTTCAATTCAATGGTATTCAACCATGCCCCAAAATTATTCTACTATTATTGCGTGAAAGATCCAAAATCAAGTATTGATATGCAAGAATGTAACGGCTTCCAAACAAATTAACTGTTAAGTAGATGTAATAGATTGCCAACTTGATTGTGAATGCCATATATATATATATACATATATATATATACACACACACACATGTTTGTGAAGGTCAAGGTATTTTGGACTTCTATGATACGTGTCATAAATTGATGTAAGTTTTGGTTTGGACATCTGCCTACTTTTATCAATGGATAGAGATGTTCGTACAACGACGAAGACTAACGGTGATGAAGACTATGCTTACATTAATGAGAATATGAGAGGACATGAACAAGAGTTGTCCTTAAATGTAGAAAAATTTTACGTACTTAAAATTTTATAAAACAGTAGTCTTTTTATTTATTTATTTATTTTTAACTATATGAAATAGTAGTCTCATCATGTGAATAATTGCAAGGTTTGTGTCATCCCGTGTTTAGTTAGATCTCGGTATTTACACATACATGTCTTTTCTGAAATTTGAAACCCTTGACTTCCTTTTGGAAAGTAAGTGGTTGATACCGTTAGGTCACAGACCCGTTAGTTATTTAGCTGGATCTTTGCATCATTATGATAAATATATATATATATTTTCAGAAGTCCAAGGAAACAGAGACTAAGAAGAAGAAGGGCGATCATAACTCAAAGCCTCAATCAACTTAAGAGGCAAGGAATGCCATTCTAAATCATTGAGCCTGGGCTGAAGAGCCATAAATAATTTTTTATTTATGATAAATAATGACTTTGTTTTGTGGCACCAAAGTTGGTCCTACCTCCAACTTTTATTTGACATTTGGAAGAAATTTTGGTGCCACCAACCATTATTAATGTTGGGGTTTAAGAAGGGTTAGATGTACAACAAATTCACAATTGCATCAATGTCTTTGAATGTATTCCATTGTCCACACACCTCCATAAAAAGGAAAAATATTGTCCGAGTTAGCCCAGGGGAAGAAGTAATCATTATTACTTTTTTTTTTTTCTCCCCCTAGCAAACAAGACAACAACTACCAATTGCTAACATTACGGTCCTTAGCCAAACACAAATTATCCACGGCGGTGTGATCAAGAACAACATCCGAAGCTAGAGAACTGCGCAAAAGAGACGCCAAAGCATGAGCGACGCCATTTCCTTTTTGACGAACATGAGAGACCCTAGCCCAAGAGAAGCCCTTCAAATCACATTGGATATCAAACACAATAGAGAAGATCTCAGTAGGACAATCTTGCTTCACCCCCAAGGCCTCAACCATAATCTTTGCATCGCTTTCGAACCACATTGAGGTGAAATGAAAGCTTAAAGCTCACTCCACGCTTTCGAAAGCAACCAGCTTCAGCTTACAAAGACGTAGAACGGGAAAAGGCTTAAACACCACAACATTGATAATGAAACCATGAGAATCTCGGAAAATAGCTCCCCCACCTCCCATAAGCGTCGAATGAGAGAAACAAGCATCCATATTGCACTTAACAGCTCCTACCATCGGAGGAGACTAAGAAATTGGGGACAAACAACTATGAGAACCCACGTTAATTTTCTTGCAACTCCTTTTCATTTCCACAAATTCCTAGAAACGATCGACATCCAAATTAACCATCTTCAAAGGAGACCACAAATCACCTTCAAACACCAACTTCACGATTGAACCAATATTATCTCGAATGTACTTCATTGAACACAGGGGTGTACAAAAAATCAGTTGAACTGATAAATCAAACTGGACCAAACCAGATTGGTAGGTATAGTTCGATTTTTTCACGGTTCTGTTTATCTCTAGTTCTAAGAACATTGATCCGTTTATGAAAGGTTCGGTTATGGTTTGAGGTTCCATAAGACCAAACCGAATCGAATCATTTTATAAAAGGTTAATTACAAAGACCACCCTTTTGGTTTGCCATAAATATAGGGACCTCCCATAAGGTTTTAGAAATTACACGGACTTTCCTAAAAAATGAACCATTCCTATACAAACTTCCCTTCTTAGTGATGGACCGTCAAATGGATTAAGGGACATGCCTACTTTATTGAAATGCCCTCAAGTTGCTCTGGTAAATGACTGAACTATATGTATGTATAAATATATATAGAGCGATTGATATATATTGTGACCAAAACGATAGACCCAACAATTCGCAGCGACACCAATGTTACCGCCGACAACAACGTCCTCGAAACCTACAATTTAACTCCCTCGTTCGCCCAAATCTTTACACTAACATATTGATTCTATAAGCTTCGCCAGTAGTTTCGCCTCATGTTCGATTTACCGTGGAGGAGTCCATGAGCGATCAATTTCTAAATACAATTAAGACCAGGTTTGGCAATTTTGAGATTTTCGAAACCACAAGCGTCGGCAAGGGAAAATTCAGTGGCATCGTCGGTTGTGGAGGACATCGGGGAGGGATGAAGGGTTACCTTTTGATTGGTCCGGTGAAGTGGGAGTGAGATGTGGCTTTTCTGGGGAAATGATTCACTCGAGAAGGGCTTTGCATTGGTGGACGATCTTGGAGTGTTTGCGCCATGAACCATTCTTAATGATCATTAATAATAGTCTTTACAAACCTAAGTGCAAGTACAGAGAACATAAATGATACGAGGAATAATATGTAGGGGAAAAATTAACTCCCACTAACCCACTCAACGGTTGGCTATTGTTGAGAGTTAAATCCCTCCTTCATCACACACAGCGGAAGTATCATCACATCACATCAACATAAACATATATGGAGATAACAATCACACACATCTACGCACAATATAATATTTTACATAGTTCACCCAACTCTAGGGTTACGTCATTGGGAGAGAGAGATTTCACTATTATGAATCAAGGAAGAAAATATACAACTACATGTCAAAACCTCACTCGCTCACTCATTATCTCTTATGATGGTACATGTATACACTCGTGAATTACACATACTCACTCCTCTCCTCACAACACTCACCCTTAAACCCTTTACATCTTTTCTCTCTTATCTCTCTCTCTAAACCCCTCACACCCATCTCGATTTATAGAGTATTCAAACCCAATTCCTTGTTAGATAAGGATCAACTTGCCTACAAGGAGTTACCATATCTATCTTTAACTCTAAAATAACAGATATAATTTCTTTCCCAAATCTTCAGCCTTTTTCCCTAAGTCTTCTGGCTTCTAAAACCAATAAGGAAAACAAATCACGTAGCTTCCCAAGGGAGTTGAACCTGTTCTATAACACTTGAACTAGTTCAACTTTGTTGTCCTAAAGTGTTGCAACTCACTGCTTCACTTGAACTGGTTCAACTAAGGCAGTAGTCAAAGTCCAACTCGTCACTCTAATTGAACTGGTTCAAAGTTCTTTAACTAGTTCAAACATGTAACTTAGACTCCACCTCGAACAAGGTTCTATTCAGAGCACTACCTCAAGCTCTTCATAGCTCTACCTCAACTGAAGATTTCTCCACCTCAAATAAAGTATCATGATGAACTTGAGAAACACTCTAACACAGTGAACTCACCTTCCCACGGTAGTTAACATAATGGTGATTGAACAAAGCATTGGTTAGTTTATTGAAGATAACTTTTATTTTTGAATTTGTTTTTAATTTTCTTTAAATAGGGTGTTGAATATTTGTACCAAAAAGGTCAAAAGTTAGATCGGGTTAGTTTATTGAAATATTTAATGCATAAGACGTATATGTGTGTTTATATATATATATATATAGTAGGTATATAGTAGGTATATATATGTATACACGTACAGTATGGTTCCATTCTCTCACTCTAGTTTTGTTGTGAGTTGGTGGTGTGGTGTGGTGTGCGTTACAGTTTGTGCAGGAGAAGATAAAGACACATATTGCCGCATTTTTGGGATTAGGTACTGATTGAGACGGGAATGGGCTTCTACCGGGAGTTGAAAATTGGGTTCAAATCTAGAACTGGATAGGTTTTTGGTGAAGTTAATGTTGTTTAAACAGAGTAAGAGAGAAGAAGCTCCAGATCGTGTTTGCATTGTGTTTCCTCTTATTTGGAAGTCCAAAGTTTACACATACAATAATAACATGATGTTTTTCCTTTCCTGAGAATTGCAGAGCATGTCTAATTGAATAGAAGAAACCCATGTATATAATATATACATTTTACACACACATGTACATGTAGCGGAGAAGATGAGGGTACTCAGTACATGATATCAATAATCTATCATTGACTCGTGTTGACCATTACAAAGGGAGGTCTGTGTAACAATATTTATTTTTCAGAAAAGGTTTGAGTAATTTCTCAAACCACAAGGAAGATCTCTGTAACTATGACAAACCATAGAGGACGTCCGTGTAATTAATCCTTTTATAAATTGTATACATACATATATTTTTATATTTTATATTATATAAATAATAGAATAATAAGATTAGCCTTTTAATCACTCAACTATATGTATCATAATATATAGTAAAAAATTATATTATATACTCCAATATATATTTAATATAAAACCTAGAGCCATGGAATCGAATCAAACCAAACTTTTTCTCACGATTCGGTACAGTTTGATTCAATTAGTTTCATAATTCGGTTGTGTTCCAATTTTTATGGAATAATTAAGAAAAGTTTCATAGTTTGGTTGTGTTCCAATTTTTATGGAATAATTAATAAAGATTCGGTTCTAAAATACCGGTCCAATCCAAACACTATGCATCCCTAATTGTACACACACCTTCATAAAAGCCGGAAAAAAAAAAACAATCTAATTAAATGAGGATTGATTTTTAGTCTATTTAGAAACCGAAGCACCAAATTAAGAAAAATATATATTTATATAACTTCAAAAAAAAAAAAAAATGAAAAATAATATATTGAAGATTACAAAAAAATAATTTCTTATCTTATCATGAAATTGTCATATTTACCGAAGTACTTAATACTCAGCAAAACTTTTGTAGATTAAAAGGACGGGACATATAATTGTCTGAATTTAAAAAGACCCATTCGATTTCCTGAATAAAATATAGCTTTAACCCGAAACAGGAGATCGCGCATAATTGAGAGAGAGAGAGAGAGAGAGAGAGAGAAAATATCTTCCATAGGGGTTCCTATTACTACTACCACTACGATCAAAAAGAGAAATGCGACGGTGAGTCCAAAAGATCATGCACACAGTCCTCGAAAAGTCGTATAAACACGCGCGCGAGCGCACACACTCTCTCTCTACTCTCTCTAGTTTCATCGCAAGTCCCTCCTCCCATTAATTTCCTTTCTCTGTCTCTATCTTCCATTCTTTGGCTTCTCACACTCTCTCTTTCTCTACCTTATCCATTCTGTCATCGTTTTTGTTTTTTTCTTTTATTCTCCGTATAATATAACGTCAAAATTTCTTCTGGGTTTTTCTTCATTCCGCGAAAAGATTCAGTGTCACCTGCTGTTTCGAAAACAGTTTACGGACGCCCAATTGGGCAGGTATGTAATCGCAAGCCCTGCAAATCCTTGTAGTATTTTTATTTTTATTTTTATTTTTTTTATTTCTCAAATAAATTTTTTTCCATCTATATTTTCTTTAATATTTGGATTTAAGTTGATCTTGATTATTGTGATCTATGATTATCGATTGGTTTTATTTGATTTTGGGTTTGTTCTGGGAACTTTTTTTTTTACCTATGATTGGGGTTCAACTGGATTGTTCATGTCGGTATATTTCCAAACCTACGGTTGGTTATTTGTTTATTGAATAACAGATTTCTAGCTTTCTCTGGTTGATGAAGGATAAGAGAATAAAATAAATTTAGTAAGTGAAGACAGACTAGCCAAATTTTTGTCAAAACTTGAATCTGTTAATCAAAAGTTAGCTTTCATTTCCTACACTAGTACACCAGAGGCTGATACCGCTAGGCCACTGGCTTTGTTTGTTTTTTGTAATTTGGAATTCCCCAGGAATCAAATAATACAATAGGTTTTAAAGTTTAAACTGGTACAATGATATACATGAATTTTTATGGGAATACAATGCTTTTGTTTTCTTGTTTTGTTTGATTTTGACTGGCAGGTGCTTTTGTTTCAGCTAGAGATGGGTATATACCTAAGTTCTCCCAAAACTGAGAAGTTCTCTGAAGATGGTGAAAATTATAAGCTTACATATGGTTTATCATCCATGCAAGGATGGCGTGCTGCAATGGAAGATGCTGTAAGTAATTCATCAATTTTCTTACTCTTCTTAACCACAATATGCCCGTAGAATGTAAATTCATTGTGTTCAAGTTTAATTACTACCTTGCCTTTTGGTGTATTTAATGCATATAACTAGTGTAATTGAGTTTCCATCAAATTGATCAGCTGCATGATAATGAGTGGCTTTATATTGTTTTTAATTATATCCTTTTGCATAATGTTGAGCATTTAGATGTTGAATTGGTGTGTTTGTCTAGTAACAGCTTTAAAAAATCATGATGCAGAATATCGAATATAAGTACATAAAGTACATACATCTATAAATTCACGTGCACACACAGGCCATAAAGATAAGTAGGGATGACAAGATAAGTAGATGGATGTCTCTACCTCACCCTCTCTCTCTATGTCTATATCAGAGACATGGCAGAATCACTTTTCTCTGTCGGAGTTCACATTTTGTGATAGATAACTGAACGAATCCATAAATTTTAGTGGGAGCCTAATCTTTTAGAACAGTGAGATAAGTCTCTTGCAAGAATGAATTGGGTGTTGCAAACTAATTTAGCCAATAGTTTTTTTTTTCCTTGACAACTATGTATTCATTGAAAAGCGCACAAAAGGGGGACACAGCCAGAACAACTACAAAAAAAAAAAAAAAAAAAAAAAAAACTATAGCTTCAAAGTTTCCTCAAGTGACAAGCGTGTTATGAACTTAATAGTAATCATATGTTGTTTTTGTATGTCAGTGTCAAACAGGTGGCCTTCTAATAATCAATATTTGTTAATTTAATAATTTTAGATTTTGATAATTTTTGGAGGAATCATCTTGGTTTTAGTGCCATTTACTTTATAGTTAATAATTTCCTGAAAAATTACTGTATTATTATTACAATGGGAGTTTACAATAGAAATGCAAACACTCATGAAGAAAATATCTAATGATATTCGTAGATATGTCTTGATTCCGAAGTAGGATGATTCTATACTTCATTAAAGATTTTTTACTTATCAAAAAAAAAAAAAAAAAAAAAAAAAAACTTCATTAAAGATTTAATAGCTGGTTTACAAAATATTAGGATTTTTTTCTTTGGTAGAGAGGGTGAAAACAAAATCAAGTGAAGCTAGGAGGGATGGAAGAGGTATTTCTAAGGAAAGGAAGGTGTATCTTACTCATGTTTGTTTGAGTTGGCAAGAGATTTAGAATTGAAGGGGTATTGCATGATTTGATCATTTGACCACTATAGCCTTCTAGAATTACAAAAAAAACTCTTTTAGGAGGGAAAAAATGTGAAAAGAGGAGGGAGGATGGAAGATACTTCCCTCTACCTTTCTTCCCAAGTTTTAGAGGAAGGGATATAGTGGGTTCAGAGGTAAGGAGCTTTCCTACTTCCGTTTCCTTCCCTATTCTCCTCTACCAAACCAAGAAAAGGCCTTTCATATCTCCTTTCATTCCTTCCATTTTACTTTTTACTAAATAGGCCCTTAGTGGTGCGAGGAAAGAAGAAGACAGTGGATGGAACAAACTTCCAATACATGGTAGATGGAAAGGAAGAGGCTATGGATGGAAGGATGGATGTGACATCTCTCCAGGCCTAGTATTTTTTTTTCCTTCTAGAATTGGAAGGAAGATAAGAGAGAACAAGGATATCTGTTGTAACAAAATTGAAAAATCGTTACTATTTTCATTTAATTATACTATTTTATATATTTAAGGATATAATGATATAATCACTCCCCTTCCTTTCCACTCAACCAAACAATGGACACCCTCCATTCTCAAGGAATGCCTCTTCCATCCCTCCTATCATCTCCTCCATCCATTTTCCACTCCTTTTACGAAACGGAGCATCAGAGTGGACTTCTTTGGTATTAGTTGTATCATGTATGAAGATGTTGTAGAAATATGTATTTTATTGTACTTTATTTTACCCATATTTATGTAACTAGAAAAGTTCTGAAAATTATTATTAGATAACTGGGTTCTTGGCCTCTATTTACCTTGTCTATTCTTAATTGCCAGATAGTTAAGTATACCAGGTGGTCATTTCTGGCACAGTTTTCTTCATGGATATTGTGATTATAACAAATGCTTGTTTATTGATAAAATTAGTATTTATGGAAGTTGTGTATAATTTACTATCATGTAGCTTTTGTTCTCCATTTCATTATGTTGTTAATTATGTTTTCTTTCTTTTTCACATGGTTCTGTCTTTTTAGCATGCCGCATATCCTGATTTGGACACTTCCACTTCATTCTTTGGTGTTTATGATGGCCATGGAGGTAAGTGCCTTTTGCCCCCATTTTTCTTTTCCCGCTTAGTCTGTTTGTGTGTTGTGTGTGTGTGTATATTGACAATGAACAGAAAGAACTTTAAATTTAATTTGGGTTGGTTATTAGATCAAAGTAATAGCACATATGTTATATGAATAGTATTCTACAAAAAATTTACATTTGTTTATCTCATTTATATTTTCTACTGTGCAATTCTTTCTATGTGCATTTGCACTTCTGGTTGTTTTTTTATGATGCATGTATGCAACTATATAGCTCCACAAAATGATGTAGTATCCTTTTCGTGTTAAGTGAACCCAAAAACTCAAAAGGAGTTTTTACGTCTCTTTTTTATGACACTGTGTATGTGCACATTTGCATGTGCATACACAAAACATACATATACACACATATTTACACAAAGAACACCACAGCCATCATCTTCTTTGCCTTTATCTCAAACGAATGGGGTTGGCCATATGGATTTTCTTTTTCGATTCCATTCTATTATAAGTCATGTCTCCTCCTATATTTAATTTTTTGAAATCATTTTTAATTACTTCATCCCTAGTTAATCTTGGTCAGTCTCTTTGTCTCTTACCTATTATATAAGCTAATCTTTCTTTTATCACTGGTGCATCTATGGGTCTACTTTCTATGGGTCTACGTTCTCTGTGTCCATACCACCTAAGCCGAATATCTCTTATTTTATAACCATTAGACACTACTCCTAGTCTCTCCTTCCCATTTTGGTTATTATCATATTTCTACCAGTCATTCTTATCATCCATCGCAACATTCTCATGTCGGCTACGTAAATATGTTTACATTTGAATCTAATACACAGAGACTAGTTCATGTTGAATCTTAGGTACTTTCTTTGCATATGCATCTGAGTAGTTACTGTGTTCATTGATGTGGTCTAAGCAATTTATGTTTTGAGGTTTTCATGACACTATCTTAGTAGTTCCGAAGTAAGACTTTTCTTGAAAATGAGTATCCTCATGACAGTGTTTTTCATTGGGATTCATTTTTCCCTCTGCTAATTTTTTAGCGAATGCATTTATGTGTTTCTTGTTCCTCTTTGAAGTTTGAACCAAGATTATATCTTGGGCTACTAAGGTGTCCGGTGTCTTTCTTTGTCGTGTTCTACAAAGAAAAAAGTATATAGGTATGTTCATGCATGAGGTGCTTAATTGCGTATCAAAAGGAGTTTTTTTCTCATGAAATTATATAATATTGAAGGATTACCAAATGAAAATGTTTCTGTTTTTCAGTGTTGGATTTAGAGATAAAAGTGGGTGGTGATCGTTTACTGTGAATTGGAAAATTTTAATTCCTAAACAAGGAATCTACAGGCGCCTCTCTTCTCTTCCTTTTGTCTGTCTCAAAAAAGCATACTCTATGATATTGTAACATCACAGTACTTACAACTATTTGTTAGGGTGCTTTTTATGGACTTGTTAGCTTGTGTTCCATAAACTTTTTTGTGGTGTTTGCATTTCTATTTCCTTTTGGATTTTAAGCTATTGTTGACTAGATTGGTGCATATATTTCAGCAGATTATTAATTGCTTGAACTGTGCCAAATTCCTAGCTGTGCATATAATGGACTTCAGATTCAGACATACAAGTAGGATACCGCTTATCATGTTATTTTTCCCCTGATACTGTTTGGAAGATTAAGATGGCCATCTAAGTGCAATTCTTGTTAGAAAACTTCAGTATAAACTCTTGTTGCTAATTTCCCATCCTACATATAAATATATAAGAGTAAGATAACACTGGCGACATTTATGTTTCTGATACTTCAGTCCAATAAATTACAGGTAAGGTTGTTGCTAAGTTCTGTGCCAAGTTTCTTCATCAGCAAGTGCTCAAGAATGAAGCATATTCCACTGGAGATTTAGGAACCTCAGTTCAGAAAGCCTTTTTCAGGTTACATTTTTGAAATTTGAGCTATTTCACCAGACAAATTTATTGCCATTCGTGTTCTATATATGTGTATGTGCATGTGTTAATATTTATTGCTTAGGTTTTCTTTTTTCTTTTTCTTTTTCTTTCTTTTCCATTTTTTTTTTTTTTTTATATAAAAATTACTGTTTCTTCGCACAGTAATAATCATGAAGCCTGGACAGTTTGTTTATGCTAAGGAGTTGCGAGCTCTTGAAATAATTGAAAAATGTCCTGGGAAACTGTCAGTGTTCAACCTTTATGACGTGTGTTGCAACCTGGTCATTTTTAAATTTAAGGTCTGGCTCAAATCACAGACTCAGTGTGTGGGATCATGACTTATATGTTTTTTGGGGGTCTTAATCTCTATACTTTGGTGTTACTAATGGTTTAAAGAGATCTAAAAAGTTGGATGCTTAAATATCTAAACCATGAGAAATTACTTTCTTAAAGAGTGGAGTATCAGTAGAGGAGAAGCTTTAGTTGTTTGTAAGGTATACATTTATACTAATATTATGATGGAAGCTTATGTATGCTGTAGCCTTTAAATAATAATACACATTGTAGTATCTATGTGTGCAGTGTATAATTTTAACCAAGGTATGACTGTGGTAATGGTAGGTAGTTCACAGAATTAGGCAATACAATATCTCCTGATCGACTAACAATCAACCCACTATTACAGATATGAGGGGCTTGTATATCTCAGCTTCACCCTCCTTTTTAACTTGCAGATGCGGTCTGCCACTGCAACAAAGTTAATATTCTCATGGTTTTGCTTCTTAATGTGAAGCTGTAGAACACTAGAACCTCAAAGTGATAGGTGATGAGCAAATGAAAATCACAGAGCCTGTGCTTGCCCTTGAACCAGTGGATTTCAACTATTCTAAGATTTAGCTATGCCATAATTCTGAACTTGGACTGTAGCGGTGCCATAATTCTGAACTTGGACCGTGAGGTCAATTGCGCAAGTGGAATTAATATGATTGCAGAAAAGGTCTTTGCTGTACCGATCGATACTTGATTGCAGTCAAGTTCAAGTTGTGCTATCCTTATGCCTCTCTTTATAACAAGTACATTCTGGACAAATTATATGTTGTTACAAATTTTTTTCTTTCTATTATTTTTTTCGATTCAGGATGGATGAAATGATGCGTGGACAAAGAGGGTGGAGAGAGTTATCTGTTTTGGGAGATAAAATAAACAAGTTAACTGGTATGATAGAGGGTTTGATATGGTCTCCAAGGAGCGGTGAGGGGAATGATCTAGCTGATGACTGGGCTTTTGAGGAGGTACTTGTTCAGATGAAATAAGTGACACTCTATTTCTTGTCCTTACTCTAGGATTAATGTGATCTGTTTGCTCCATTTTAAACTGCATAGTTGGTGCAATATTTTTTGCCCTTCTATAATGTTCGAGTCTACTGACTACAAAGCAGAAGCATTTTTAAAAACCTGACAGTTAATTTAGTATGTTTGGGAGCGTCAATTGCCACATGAAGTTTGTCTTCTAACACTTGAATCTTAGACTTCGCTTTGTTGTCCTTTCATTTAATGCATGCATCTTCTGTTCTCTCTCTCTCTCATGCATGCGTGTTGAACGGTTGTAAATGTGTTCTGTTTATGTGTGTTCTAATGGATGCTCCTCTTTCTCGCTCTTGAACTCCCCTCAAATATGTATGTACTCACAAATGTAGTGCTTGTTTTATTGGATGGGAACACCTCTCTATATGTAAAAGTGTTGTGGCAGAAATTTGGTGAGATCCAACTGTTTTGTTGATTTTTAAATGTATTCTCTATATGTGGAAGTGTTGTGACTGAAACTTGGTGAGATCCTACTGTTTTGTTGATTTATAAATGTATTCTGATAGAATATATATTTTTTTCCACTAAAATTTAGTTGGTAGCTGGAGGAATTAACAGATAAGCCACAACTTTTTTTTTAATGAATAGCTATTTGGACTGAAGAATCTGTAGCTAAGCAATGCCATTTGTAGTGTACTACAATTCCATCAATAGATAGCATATGGCCTGTGAGGGAATACTTTAAACTTGAGAATTATCAACTTTTATTGTCCATGCCAAATTTGACATTTTTCGTGAATAACTTTTTTGTTTTGTTTTCATTTTTATCTCTTCTACATGTCTTGGCATTGTTTACTTGTGACTTATTTACTCTAGGCTTCGTAATCAGGGGCCTCACTCTGATTTCTCTGGACCAACTTCTGGGTGTACAGCCTGTGTCGCAATTATTAGAAACAATCAACTTCTTGTTGCAAATGCTGGTGATTCTCGTTGTGTAATATCTAGGAATGGTCAGGTAAAGTGAAATTCAGGTAGATTTTTTCTTGTGTTTTCCTGCATGGTTTAAGGAAAGTATTTTGTGCTTGTCATTGGACATTTTATGTATCTTAACATTGGACTTGTGCACTACTGACACCCACCCACCCACCCACATGCGCACCCACCCCCACAACCGAAAACAGAAAGAAAAAAAAAAAAGGGAAAGATTTAAGCACCTTTGGCTGTCCAAGATGTCACCCCTTGACTCATAATCTAAGAAGCACAGACACGGACATGGACACGGTGATACGACAAATTTTAAAAAAATAGGATTTGGACACGGCATGGATACGGTAATAAAATAATATATATTTATTATATATATATATATTTTAATTTTTAATCAATTTCTAAATCATATAAAAAAATAAATCCATTTACATTAGGTCTACCAAATAACCCATAAAATCATAGGCCCAAATTTCATTAGTGTACAAATAAAAATGATACTAGTATATATTTGTATCCAATAATGGGATTATTATCTTTTGTAACCAAACACTTGCATACTGAAGATAGAATGAAATCTTATCCTTCCTCTCTTCCCCAGATTTCACGCATATCCACCCCTCACCAGCCGAAAGCCCCCGTCTTCCTATTCTCCTCTATCTCTGATTCACCATAACTTTGTGGTTCAAGGAGACATACTTCTCTTTTCCAGCCCCTCTTCATATCCTCATCTCTAAACATATGTCTATATATATATGCATAGGAGATCTATATAAGGGTCTAAGAACTTCATAGATCTGCGGTACAAGGGTCTAAGAACTTCATAGATCTATGCATATATCTCTTCATCTTCTCTCTCTTTTTTCAAATCCGAACGGCGTGTCTCAACGTGTCCTCCTATGTGTCCAACCTATAAAAAAAGGAAAAAACAGAAGACATGTAAAATAGAGTGTCTGACACAGTGCAGCACTCCTCAGGGACGTGTCCGTGCTTCATAGCTCATAATTGATTGGCCAGCCATAGTAGTGTAAGTCATGTATAAGTAGAATCTATATGACTATTTGTAAAAATAATTTGTGTGTTTCTAGATTTAAAAAGAAAATGTGAGTGATAGACAATATGGCTCTCTTTGCGCAGGCATACAATCTTTCTAGAGACCACAAACCTGACCTTGAGGTTGAGCGAGAAAGGATCTTAAAAGCTGGTGGTTTTATTCATGCAGGACGAGTCAATGGAAGTTTGAATCTTGCAAGAGCTATAGGTAATGTATGCACCTGCTTGTGGACTTCAATAGATTCTCTATCATGTTCCCATTTCCCTTGGGTACTCTAAACCTGAAAATTTGCCCATTGGCTGAGTCCTTATTCTCCCTATATGATGCAAGTAGGATTGCTGGTCCTACCAAAAAGAAATACTTGATTCATAGAACAGAAGTAACTAGATATTACTTTGCTCAGGTCCGGTGGTGTATATTTCCCGAGCTAAATGGAGTTATATATGCATACATGTGTATTTAGATGTGTGATAGAGGGAGAAATTTTTGTATTTTGAAATATTTTGATATGCATGCATGTGTATTTAGATGTGTGTTAGAAGGAGGGGATGAGAGCAAGTTTCTGTGGTTTCTTGAGTTCTATACTTAATTTTCTATTTTGCTGCAGGAGACATGGAATTTAAGCAGAATAAGTTTTTGCCTGCTGAAAAACAAATCGTGACTGCCAATCCAGATATAAATACTGTATGTATCTTCTTCCTTTTGCTGTAGGTAGAATGTGAAATTTTTGTTCAATAAGTGGATATTTCCTGGGTTCAAATAGCAAGAAGACAGCATAATATAAAAGCAATTCACAGACTCAATATAAATTGGTAGTTTTTGGAATTTGAATCATTAAAATTATTTAAGTTAACGTTCTTTTCCCTTTTTTGTTCCCCCCTCCCCTGTGTCCCCCTTCTTCCTTCCCTCAGTCCTTCCCCAAGTGGATGGTGGTTAACAAGTTCTAATAAATGATTTAACACCGGCTTGTATGTCCAAATATATTCCTTCAAATTTAAGCAGTAAATGTTGCTCTTGCACTGATGATAGTTATTTATTATTATTTCTTTTCAGGTTGAGCTTTGTGATGATGATGATTTTATGGTGCTGGCATGTGATGGAATCTGGTATACATCTCATGCTATCATTTTTCAGCTTATTCTATAGTTTGATGTATGTTGTGAAAATAATTATTTCCACGTAGGATCGAGCTATCAAGTATAGCTAGAATTGCCATTTTTTTCTTCAATTTTTTTAAACAATATAGGGAATGGTTTACAACTACATGGTAGTTATTGTAGCAACAAACTCTAGGCAAGTAAAGGCTGCTATACTCCTTAAATGATATAAAGGGGTAAGCCCTTTTGGCCTATTGAGCTGTTCTATTATTCCCTTGGGGTGGAATAGCACTCATACAACTGTCTTTTTACTAAGCAGAAACACAAGAGGCTACCTTTTCATTTTCTCTTTTTGCATTGATGAATGAAGTTCTTTTAGACCTGCGAGAAACCGTTTCATGCGAATAATGAGGTTAAATGTGTGGCTTTACTGGTTCTACCCCTCTTTTGATTTGAGATCCTCTAATGTTCTCGTACCTAAACTAGTGAAAATGCAAGAAAAACAGTTTAAGTCCACTGATCCACCTAAACTAGTGAAAATGCAAGAAAAACAGTTAGTCCACTGATCCTACCAAAATCAGGAGGATATCAAATAATAAGCAATTGTAAAGTTGGTTTTTGTAATGAGACTTGGAATGGACAAATATCTCTTATGTTCAGCCTTGCATGTAAAGTACACTGTCTGGGTAGCACTTCATTAGTGCGAAATTGAAATACTGAGTAAATGGTAGGCTCTTGTCCAGTTGCTCCCTCATTTGACAGATCCTTTTCTTGAGTCTTCCTTGGTTGATGTTGATGGAGCGGGGACCTGTTTTGGGGTCCCAAATAGTTTACTTCATTGCCACTTGGAGTTCTTTTTATGGATTCTGTTTCACACAGAAACCAGGATCGTGAAGTGCAGTTGAATAATTCTAATATGCTTTGATGAAAGATTTATACACACTCGGTTGATAGAATTCTTCGTACCTACTTATATTCTTAATCTCTTTCTCCTCTTTTATCCTTTATTCAGTAAAATTATTCATGTTTGATAATGAGATATTACTGTTTCTTTAAAATTCTTTTCAGGGACTGCATGTCAAGTCAACAACTAGTAGATTTTATACATGAACAGTTAAAATTGGTAAGTGTCTAGAATCTCTTGGTTTTTGCATTAGTTCAGGCTATATGCTGAACTTCTACTTTAACCAAAAACCTTAATTGGTGCAATGAATTAGGTATTGTGTGGTTATTTATCTTAGAGAATACCCATAAGATTCTAGAAGAGCAAGTGATTTTTAATCTGCTTTTTGCTGGAAAGCAAACGTGAAAATGAATGCTTAATGGATTGCTGTTGAAATTAGAAAATGCATGTGCTGTCGAGTTATGTGGTTATGTTGTGTGTTGTTGCATTACCAATGCATGTGATGTAGTGTAAATTTGATGCATATCCTGTATGTTTCTGTTCATAATTTTGCAGGAAAGCAAGCTTTCTGTTGTGTGTGAAAGGGTACTTGACAGGTGTTTGGCACCTTCTACAGCCGGTGGTGAGGGATGTGACAACATGACCATGATCTTGGTGCAGTTCAAGAAACCCATCCAGTCTGTTGAATCTGCAGAGGAGAAGCCATCAGTTTCTAAGCAAGCTGACACTGAATCAAAAACAGAAGAGAGTGAATCACTAGCTTCTGGACAAGCTGACATTGAAACGAAGTTGAACGAGAGTGAATGAAGCTAGTGTCTGCTGTGATTCTTGTCAGATCCTGTTGTCTGGAATTATGGTTAGAACAAGATTGAAGGATCCCCATTCTCTTACTTGAAGAATTCAGATTCTTAGGTTTTTCGGTAACTATACACGGTTTAACTGAAAAGAGGAATCAAATACTAAAAGGATCTGCTTTTCATGCTTATTTTGTGCAGTTTTACTGTAATACAGTATCACTATTGGAATAACATGTACAGATTATTTTCGTTCAGGGTTTTCTATATATATATATATATGTTTGCTCTAAAGCTGGTTTGGCCTACTATTAACGTCTGTTCAGGATCTTAAGTTGCATGTTTTATGATTTTCTTTATCATTCTTTTGGGCTCCTTGAAACCGAGCGATGCAGTATGATTTTTTTTAGATTTTGGGTTAAAGTTTCCATCATGAGTAGTTTGTCGTCAGCTTCTTGTGAGTACTGATGTTGCAATGTGGGCTGGTATTTGGTCCTGGAATGGGAACTACCAGTTTCTTGCCTCCGACCAGCACCTCGGCCACCTGGGATCTGAAGTCAACAATGTTGGGCTTCTACTGTCATAACCGAATTGCTTAGCTGATAACCAGTGGGTTAGTGTTACTAGCTTCTTTGACTCGTTGGCCCGACAATGGACTATAGGTTTTTTGGGCCAATGTAATGATGTATTATGCCATGTTTTGGGCCATCTAAAATGAGTCACTCAGGCTTAGCTTTTTTGGCAAGTTGCACTACCCCCATTGGGCCTGTTTTGGGTCTGCTGAGACCTACTCTGTAAATATTCTTATGCTTGAATTTCCGAAAAATAAAATTAATAAGCCTTTCTCATAAGGAAAATGATTTAGAATTTAGAATATTGTAACAACTTGATTCATCATTCTGATAGAGTGAGTACATGATTTTAGGCATGTTATACTGCTACATTATTCATACATCATATAGTATCGATTTACCTCTGTCCCCTAAAATAGTTGTCTGATTTGAGAACTGTGACTTGCAAAGTATAACAATTATTTTGGAAAGGAGGACATGGGAATGGCAATCAACTCCAAATCATATTTTCTCATTGTAGTTATTCCAAATATATCTGTCATGTCGAGTTCTTCTTGTTTGATTCCATTTGGGACTCTCCAATCGAAATGGTAGAGCAGCTGAGCAAGTACAAGTTCAATTCCTGCAGTAGCAAACTGAATGCCTGGACATATTCTCCTACCTGCTCCAAATGGGATATATTCAAAATTAGTTCCTTGGAAACTGATCATGGAAGAAGAATCAACAAACCTCTCCGGTCTAAAGCAATCTCCGTCACCCCAGTATTTTGGATCATGGAAGAAGGATCAACATTTTGGTTTTTGCCGGAATCTCATATCCGTTAATTTCACACCTTTCAGTTGATTCTCTTGGTAACAAAGGGGCTGGAGGGTGTAATCTCAGAGTTTCTTTGACGATACATTTCAAGTAATTTAGTTGATGAATACTGCCTGTGTCATCATCAATATTAATAATATTATTGCTCTTTCCTTTAAAGGCCTCTCGAACTTCAGCTTGTGCCTTGTTCATTATTCTTGGGTTCTTTACCATCTCCGACATTGCCCATATTATGGTTGTTGCAATCGTCTCACTCCCAGCTCCAAAATGTCCTGAAATTTAAAAAACAAAAATATCATTAATATACTGCGCGCACTAAAAACTATATATATACATACAGTAGTAAATATATATATGTACCAAAATGACAGCTTTTATGTTATCAGGTGTGAGAAGGGAGAAGTTATCAGTACTATGACCACCCTTGTCTAGGTTGAGAAGGACATCAACCAGATCTTCCTCCCCGCCAGCAGCAGGTACATTACTGCTTTTGGCTCTGTGCTCATTGACGATGGTGTCGAGAATTTGGTCTATTTTCCGGTGCAACCTTTGGAGGATAGGCTTGGTTCCACTAATGTAATGAAGGATTTTAAGTAAAGGAAATAGATCATGCAACCCAAAACCTCCTGACAAGCTTATTGCTTCGTGCAACACTTTTAAGAACAGTCCTTGATCTACACACGCCTTACCAAAAGCGGTGCGTGCAATTATGTTGTTTGATAGTGAGTATATCTCCTGACTGAGGGTTGATGATGCTGCTGCTGCTGCTGCGGCAGGAAGATGAAATAAATTGTATGAGATTCTCTACTTCTTCTTCTCTCACTGATTTGAATGAGTCTACATGTTTGGCGCTTAGGAGTTCAGTGACACACATCTTTCGCAGTTTTCTCCATAAATCATTGCAGGGAGAGAAGACAAGGCCTCCACCATTATAGGAGATGACCTCAACAGCAAGAACTCGAGGCCTTTGCGTGCACTTGAGTTCGTGCTGCTTTAACACCTCCTGGGCTATTTCCGGTGACGAAATGACTACAGCCGAGATCTCACCAAGTTGGAGATGCATAAAGGGTCCATGTTTCTTGGCTAAGGCCTTCAAGGCATGGTGTGGAAGAGAGCTGCCTAGGGCCAACTGGTGCAAGTTACCAATAATGGGCAGCTTCCATGGCCCTGGTGGCAGCTGCTTCTTTGGGTGTTTAGATGTCTTCTGGTACTGTTTCAGTATCAATAAAAACGAAACAAGAAAGGTTAGAAAAACCTGAAGTATCATGGTTTCTGAGCTGTGCAAATCTTTAATTTGAACTTCACGGGGGTACAAGATGCTTTTATGGTAGGTGTGAAGCAGAGTAGAGCCTGATATTTGAAGCAAACGCACAATATTATTTAATATATGTCGGATTTGAGAAAAATTAATTATGAAAATAATTGTATACCACTTGTATTCTGGAGAAATTATTAAATGGTTCTGGTCTACTAACACTTGGTGAACTAGTTAAATTGAGAAAATGGCCCCACAATAATGTATTACGCAACACCTTCATTGCGATCGGACCACCCTGCTTACCCGGGTTGAAGACCTGGATATCTTCTGAGTCGGGCGCTTAGCGTGATACCGGATCAAGAACTGGGTCTCACTCTGATACCAAAGTAACGGGTGGGCACTTGCCTATTTAATAAAAAACTAAGCCATTGGATAGTGTCGCATAATCACCCATTTATACTGATCAAGTGAGTATATGAATTTTAGACATGTGTAAATTGCTACATTATTCATGCATCATATAGTATCGATCATATATTAGTATATGTTTTCTGATCGATCAATCAATGGAGGAGGACATGGGAATGGCAATCAACTCTAAATCATATTTTCTCGTTGTAGTGATTCCAAACATCTCTGTCATGTTGAGTTGTTCTGGTTTGATTCCATTTGGGACTCTCTAATCGAAATGGTAGTGTTGGGAAACGTGCAAGTTTTAAAAACTTTTCGAGGGATTTTGATTCATAGATCTTGATTCATCACATAGAGACAAGTTTTATGCAAAAATAAAAATATGATGTATCATTCAATTAATAGATTGAATACTTACATCAAAGGTCTGAGTAAACCTTTAAAACTTTCCTCTAAAGTGAATGTTCTCACTTATTGTAGATCCCTTAGCAAGATGCCTTCTCCTTGGATCTCCATCTTCTTAGTAATTATTTTGCCTTTAGGAATCATTCATAAGCCTCCATGAATTACCTCGGAAAACTAGGCTTGTGGGAGCCTCCATTAGATGAGAACATAAACCCTAATTTTCTAGAGAGAGAAAATTTATTCCTTTTTCCTTCTCATAAAAATCACCCCCTAAAATATACATAGACCATGTATATTTATAGGCAACATAAAAATAAAGAAAAGGAAAAAACAAATCCTTCTCCATCTCTAATTCATATGTCTCAAATCTAATATGATTCCAATATCAAGTTGGGCTATGAGTGAGAATCCATTGGGCCTATTATTTTATTGGCTACAATGAATTAATAATTGGCCCGGTCCATGGACCCAATTCAATTAATTCATAAATTAATTTCTACTCCACTAAAAGAAATTAATTGAACTCCAATTAAATAATAAATAACCTCTAAGTCAATATTGCACTTTGACCCCTCTATGCATAATTAGTTATCGGATAAATATAGCCATCAATCCGACTACTTAATTAATATATTTATTTTGGTACCTTTGATTATTTCTGGCTCGATTACAATAAAACATTTGTTTGACAAAAATAATAATTTAAATAAATAAATATATAATAAATCATTTTGTCTAAAAACACACTAAGGCCTTCGAATTTACTTTGTGATCAACCATAATCAATACAAAATAAATACAAGTAGCAATGATGCAAATATTGAAAATATAACCCTCTAACTATTAATTACATAACTACCCAAAGTGTCGGTCTAAGGATCCCGAAGAATCCGCCGAACAAATCAAAGTAATTATTAATTAATAAAAGAGTCTATACTTTTCTCATGAGTAATTGCATACGACGGCTCTCGCAATATATCTCAACCTAACGCGGATCCAGTTCAAGTCTTAATTAATTATGAGTCCATCCATAATTACCGACTATGAACAATTTATAATTACTATTTATATATCATGCATTGATTGTCATCACATACATATATATAAATATTTCTTGTAATTAAATGGACACTATCAATTTCATAGTGAATCGAAACATAATATATTGAATTCACCAATTATATAAATCATAAATATTTCAGATATGTCAGGAACATATGTCACTATAATCCAGATAGGAATTTGCTATGCCAGGGCATATAAATCCCAACAAGTAGAACAAAGTGTCTCATGGTTTGTTTTGTGTGGTCGGGCTTCTTCCTCGTTTGTGGTTGTTATATTGTTCTCTTCTTTCACTATGTATTATGTTTCTTGCTTTGTGCATTGGGTTGGGTAGTTGGTTGTGTATGTTGGGTTTGTGTAGATGCGGTAGGGCTTTTGTCTTTGTCAGCGAGAGAGAAAAAACAAAAAAAAAAAAAAAAAAAAGGCCCTACCCTCATATGTAAATTCCTTTGTACCAAATTATAGTATTAAATATTGTGTTTGTGTGTAATTGCTTCATTGACTTTCTTTCAATTCCAATAACTTTGGCTCTCCCAACAAACACGGCATTTAATCAAATCAGCTAACTTCATTTCAATTTCTATGCAATTCTCGTTTGAGTTTTGGTTTAAGTATTTAATTGTACATGAACCCACCTCAACGAATGAAAGAAACAAAAGATGAAATAAATAAATAAAACAGAGCAATAGAAAGAGAAAAGTCAATAAAGAAACAGTTACGTAGTACAATAGTATGAAATGTTTGTTTGTTTGGCCAAACTGTCGTAAGTC